GTATTTTTTTGGTTATAAATTGATAATCATGGACCTTAGGAATTATTACAATGTCATTATTGCCACTGTGTTTAAATGTGTTTGTTTCCATTATAAATACCTGTTTATTGTATTGGTGCCTTAATAGTTTAAAAAAAATCTTATGTTAATGAAATGTTGAGTATGTGGTCTTAATATATAAATACATACTAAAATAATTAGTCCCACTTCAGAAACTAAGTCCTATAATACAAAAATTACTCTTATTCTGGATCTTACAACTATCTAACCTGAATATCACCAACCATATTTTCTTAAATTGAGCTTATAAGACAATTTTTTATATTGATCATTGCATGAGGATTGAAAGTTTTTCTTGCGTTGTTCTTGTTCTTATTCTTGTTGTTTTTGGTTTTTTGGTGAGGCAGTCGGGGTTAAGTGACTTGCCCAGGGGTTACACAGCTAGTAAATGCCAAGTGTCTGAGGTCAGATTTGAACTCAGGTCCTCCTGATTCCAAGGCCAGAACTATACCCACTGCACCACCAAACTGCCCAGTTTTTGTTGTTGTTGTTGTTGTTGTTTAATCAAATCTTGTTATTAGAAAATGTACTTCCTATGTCTAGGAAAATATAAGATATAATGTGTAAAGTTAGTTTTACAGTAATTGGTAGCCAATTATGTAAATACTTGTCTCCAAAGCAGTAACAAATAGCAAGGATTAGATTATAGAATAACTCTTCTATCTGTTCTTACCAAATATAATTAGTTATTGCTTGATAATCCTCACAGGATTGAGTATTCCTTTGCCTGTATATTCAAAGTAACATGAACTTGTTAACTTTTAATCATTTCCCAGAAAAGATTACTATCTGTTTTTGGAGAAAATCAAAACATCTCACTGTACTGTACTATTTAGCAGGATTAATAATTTTATCTGACATTAAGATAGATCTTTGATAGATTATGGTTCTATAGATTATTCAGTTTGGGTTTTTTTTATGAATTACATGGATTACAGTTTCAGGGGGAAGTCCTTTGAACATTTTAAGATATTCCATGACTTGGCTTGCTTTCCCTCTCCTTCTATCCCTTTTGCCCTGCCCTTTTCCCCTACTACAGTAGTAGTAGAGGAAGGGCTATCTTGTGTCTAGGCCTCAGATGATGTCTTTTTTATACCCAACAGAGTTAGTCTACTTAAGACTCTTTAAACTCTTTCAAAGAATAATGCTTTAAATTATTTTTAAAGCAAAGGATACTTTTGTACCATAAATCCCTTCTACTTATTTTAAGATCATAGGATTTGGATATAAAAAGGACCTTAGAAATCATCTACTTCAAACTCCTCATTTTTCAGGTGAGGAAGCTGAGCATTTAAATTTAGTTTTAATGATTCCAAATCCAGTATTTTTTCCACTGTATCATAGTGCCTCACTATTAACTTTGAATTTTCATTTGTTAGGTTTTGGTGCTTTGTCTGTGTTAGTAATTTCAGTTACTGTATTCTTTCTCATTTTATTTCATTTTATTTTTTAGAAAATGCTGAAGGTTTTACCTACTATTAAAATCATTTTGGTTACCATATTGGAAGTTTATAGAACTCTGAAGCCTAATTATGCTTTTCAGCAAAATTTAATATGTCATAGTAACCTTAGAACTGGATCCCCAGTACATATTAGGGAATTGCTTAAAGGCCTTCATCATAACAGACTTCAGAACACTACTGTTTCAAGTGGTATATTCCTTTTCCTGTTGCTTAGCAAACTCCCGAATCATATCCTGATCCAGTTTATGAACTCTTGTGGCCTTCATCACCACTCTCCCTCAGTAACCTACATAAACAAGGCCATGATTTAAACATTCTTTTCATTCATCTAGGTAGTACAGTGGATAGTGTGTCAGGCCTGGAATCAGGAAGACTCTTCTTCCTGAGTTCAAATCTGACCTCAGACACTAGCTAGTTGTGTGACCCTGGGCAAGTCACTTAGCCCTGTTTGCCTCAATTTCCTCATCTATAAAATGAGCCAGAGAAGGAAATGGCAAACCACTATAGTATCTTTGCCAAGAAAACCCCAAATGGGGTCATAAAGAGTCAGACAAGAAAGAAAAACTCAGTGTTCAGTCAAAACTGTACAATCTCCATGGTCTTGAACACTGAAGTTTTCCTTTCTAATCATAATCTGCTTTTTCAGTTCCTGCCAACCTGCTGAATTAGAGAAGTCACAGAATTATGTCCAGTGAATCCAGTTCAGATTACTTTACCTGATTCCACTGGGCTCTTACTGCTTCATAGAAATTCTTTCTTCTTCCCTGATTAAATCTCACACTCCTGGTAATAGCTGTTTGTTGCTTTCTTCTCCCTAACCTCTCATGTCTAATTACATCCAAGTCTTGGCATTCTACTTCAACAACATCTTTCACATCTTCTCCTGGTTCAGGATGTTTTACAGCTCTTGTCTAGACTATAATAATCTCCTAGTTGGTCTCCATACACCATGATTCTGTCCTCCCTGCAGTCCATCCTTTGCAGCCAATCCCAGTCCTGACTGAGGATCATCATATTGGTGCTGCACTTAGTGCAAACATCCTGTAGCTCCAGACTGCCAAAGTCAAGCAGTCTACCAGCCTGAGCCTCCCCAGTAATAGGGAGTATGGGAGTGCCCTACCATCCCCAGCTCTGACTGACTTTTGAAACTCTTCAAACTTTGATCCCTTCCTACCTTTCCAATTTTCTTCCACTGAACTACCCTCCGCATATTCTACGTCAACAAATAATGAATTTCTTGCTGTTCCATACGCATGAAACTCCATCTGCCTCCAGACTCCATGAATTTTGCCTGACTGAACCTCAAGACTCACCTGAAATCCTACCTGCAAGAGCATTTCCTGTCCCTGTTCCCTCCCCAAATACTACTCATGCCTTCTGTTAGGAATTAGCTCTCATCTATTTGTGTGTGCCTGTGTGTGTGTGTTTGTGTGTGTGTGTGTGCACCTGTGTGTGTGTGTGTGTGTGTGTGTGTGCATGTGTTTGTGTTTCTGCCATTAGCAGAGGCTCCTTCAGAGTACAGAATGTTTTTGCCTTCTTTGTATCCTGGAATTTAGCACAATGCCTGATACATAGTAGGGCTTAATAAATGCTTGTGAATTATTGTTTTAAATGCATTTAAAATAAGAGTAGAGTATTACTTCAGTTCACTAATAGTATCAATTAGATAGAAGTACTTAAAAATTTTCATTTCATGCTGTAAATCTTTTGTGGTTTTTCCAACAATTGAAATGGACTGAGATACATATATATGAGAAATCTGAGAAATTCACTATCTGATTGTTTGTGACTAGATTGAAAGCTTACATTTATATTATTGTATAAATTAGTTACAAATTCAGTGGTATTATGTTCAGATATATTATTTCATCTGGCAATTTATCACATGGGTTCATGTGAGATTTCTTCATTTATTAAATTTTGGATTATGTTTTTCAAGCCAGATCAAGACTTAAACATTTTTCCATAAGTATTGCTGCAGGTAAACAAGCAATTTGAGTCCAGAAAATAGCTTCTGCTTCTGTCAACATGTTGTTTATTTTTTCCATGAGATAAAAAGTTCAGTTTTCTGATATTTGTACCAAGATAAAGTCAGTAAACAAGATTAATATAGTGTGGAAAAGGTTGTCAGCAGCCCTGGCAAAGGAAATAAGTTGCCTGTACACAGAACATACTGTAAACTGAATAAAAGTGTCAGGTCCACCATGAGATAATGTGATCATGAACCTGTAACAAAGCATGACATAGGCCCGGTCGGCTTTTCTCACAGCCACAGTGTAGAAAATGGATTACTGTATGCCAGGGATACCCCCTGGAATAGCATGAAAACCTCATTTTGAGATGAACACTGGAGGTAGTCCTGGAGTTGAGCCACATGTTTACCTATGGTTCCCAAGTAACCATTTGGTTCTTAGCATAAGCAGCAGTGAATATTTAAAATGTTTTAGTTTTGGGAATTTTGAAGCCTCTTTGCTATCTACCTTTTTACCCAAATGAAAGACAATATCATTTAAGTTTTATGTTCTTTGGTTTTTTTAAGCTATCTGCTGCATCACTATGCCTTTTTAAATCCTATATCTTAAGTAGTACTTCCATAATTACAGGATGTTAGCCTGAGTATAGCAGACAATACTAGAAATTCACAATGTTTTGATGGTGTCCATACTTGCAGACATGTACTCTGATACAGTGAGGGTGAACTTATTCATTTTATTGTGCATTATTAATATTTCTAGATTTGGAATGTGTGGATCTCACAAATCTTTCTAATTAATAAGATGTAAAAGGGTTTCTAAGGAATGCAAGAAATGAATTAGGTAATCATGAGGGCATTCTAATTGTAAATTGATCCTATGGCTTCTTGTAATGGTTTGATTTGAGTATGTGAATAGAGAAATAAAGCTTTCTTTTTGTTAGTGAAATGCATTTTGTTTTTTATAAGTGCGTAGATAATATATATTGTTTCTTAGCTTTTTTTGCTATGTAAAAAAGAACGCATTTGATGATTTAAGCTAGTGTATGCATTTAAATGTGTGCATTATAACAGGCGTTACTTATATTTATAAATGAACTGTGCATATAGTCTATAAAATACAAAGTGGTCAACAAAAACCTAATTAAGTAAAACCATTTTTTTCCAAATAAAGTTAAATATATGATCAGTGGAACAGTGTTCTCAAATAAAAAGACCAATGGTTTGGTTCTCAATATTATAAAACATTATTTTAAAATGTACTTTTAAAAAATAGTCCCAAACTACCATCCTATAAGCCACAAAAATAGTAAATGCCCAGCTCATAGAAATGGTCAGTCTTTCCTTCACTAGTTATTCATTAGACTCTGAGAACCTGTTTTAGAACATTTTATTCTGTTATTTTATCCGTTTTAGATGTCATGTAGTCTCCCATTATTTACTGTCCTTTTGCAAACTCTGTTATAACTCTTTTTCTTCTTTCTTGTTTTGTTTGATCTCTTCAGGTTGCTACAGCTGGCCCAGTAAGTAACAAGAGAATGGTTCACTTTTCCCCTGATTCCCATCACCATGAGTGAGTATGCTCTGTCTATACTGTATATCATTATTAGTGACCTGCATGTCTTTTCAGAGTCTTCCGATTCTTCTCACACATACAATGACAACTCTGTGTACCTTTTAAAAGGTGTTTATTATCTAGTGAGGGCAGATGGTAGAAGGAGAGGTAACCTAGGATGCAGCTTGTTCCTCACAACTCCAAATAAGCAAGAAAAGTACCTCAGAATGCAGCAAGCTAGCAATAACAGAAGTCAACCCAAGACAACTCATAAAGAAAAAGTAACTGAAGACCAGCTCACCAGCCTCTGCAGGCATTTGGATCCTGGGCGTGCTTCTTCCTTCTCCTTCCTTTCAACCCCATCTCCATCCCCCCAATCCATGAACACATAGAGAATCTTTATCTTGCACCTGAGAAGAAGGTACTGCATCCCGAATAGCAGGTTCAGTTTAGACAGTAATTTAGGGATAAAGTCCTGTGGAAAGCCCAGGTCACATGACAGGTTAAGATCAATGAAATAGACCAGACCCAAGGCTCAAGAAGGAAAGGAAATGACTGTGGAAAAGTATAGAGCCTCTGGTGCACGGAAGTGCTTCCACTTTTCAAGGAGGACCAGAAAGATCCAGCACTAATTACAGCTATTTAATACTGTACAAGAGCAAACAAGCAGTCAGCATAAGAACAAAGAGAAAGGTGGAAAAGATGCCAAATTGCAACAATTTCTAAGTACTTTACCCCAGCAGTAGCTCAGGATATTCTCCCCCAAACCCTTACTGTGTCCCCCGCCAAGGTCAGCCATGGGGCTAAGAGAGAGGCCCCTAATCACAGAACAGACAGAAGCAAAAATCCTGATGGAAATAAGCCCATTTATAGCAAGAGAACAATAGAAAAATCACCAGAGCATCTGTTAAAGATCACCAGTCTCTTGAGACATAAGAACCAGAAAATCAAATGAAAGAGCCATCTCAATAAACAATCATTTCACAACAAAGGAGTCTGCATCACAACCCTCTGCAAAAGTTGAAAGTATTACAATAAATTCTGCCACAGCCCCTAGAACAATGTAATAATTCGAAGAACCCTGAGCATGGTAGAAAAGATCATTCAGAGAATTAAGTGCAAATATTTTTTCCACTTAATAGTATTTTGTTTTATTCCAATTACATGTAAAGATAGTTTTCAACATTCACTTTTAAAAGATTTTGAGTTCCAAATTTTTTATTCTCCCTCCTTCCCCTCTCCTCCCCAAGATGGCAAGCAATCTGATATAGACTATACATATACAATCATATTAAATATATTTCCACATTAGTCGTGTTGTGAAAGAAGAATCAGAGCAAAAGAGAAAAAAAATACCACAAAAAAAGAGAAAACAGTATGCTTTGATCTTCTTTCAGACTCCAGAAAATATTTTATTGATTATGGAAATTGGAGCTTTTAAATAAAGATATCAATAAGACTAACGAGGAATTCAAGTCAATAAGCATTTAAGTCCTTATTATGTGCCAAGAACAGTAAGTACTAGGGATGCAAAGAAAAGCAAAAACAGTTCCTACCCTCAAAGAGCTCCCAATTTAGTGGGGAATTCAACCTGCAAACAACCATATATAAGGATATATTCAGGATAAAGCAGAAGTCAAGGAAGGTACCAACATTAAGAGGTCCAAGAAAAGCTTCTTTCAGAAGGTGAGAATTTCACTAAGACTTGAGGGAAGCCAAGGAAGGCAGGAGGTAGAAAGGAGGAATGAGTCCATACTGGGTATGGGAGCAGACAATGAAAAAGCATATTGTCAATAGATGGAGTGTCTTGAATGAGAAACAACAAGAAATTTAATGTCACTGAATAGCAGAGTACAAAGAAGGAAGTAAAATGTAAGAGAACTACAAAAGTAGAAAGGGACCAGTTTGTGAAGGGCTTTAAAAGCCAAACATGATTTTAGATTTACTCCTGGAGGCAATAGGGAGACACTGGAGTTTATTGAATGAGGAGAAGAGGGGTAACATGGTTAGACCTGAACTTTGGGAGAATCACTTGGACTGCTTATTGAAACTTGGGTTCTGTTCTATACATACTGAGTGTGAGATGCTGAATTCAAGATGTCCAATAGACATCTGGAGATATAAGATTGGAGGTCAGGAGAAAAGTTAGGGCTCGATAAATAGATTTGAGCATCATAGAGATCATTGAATTCATGGGAGCTTATAAGATCACCAAGCAAAATATTATAGAGGGAGAAAAAAAGAGGGATCACACCTTGGAGCACCTCCATTGTTAGCAGATATTATCTGAATGAAGATACAGCAAAGGGAACCAAGAAGGAGCAGATAGACAGGTAGAAGGAGAACCAGACATGAGCAATTTCACTAAAAGGGAGAGAGAGAGAGAGACAGCATCAAGAAGAAAAGAGTCATCAACAGTGTCAAAGGTCAAGAGGGATGACAAGTGAAAAAAGACCATTAGGTTAGGCAATTAAGAGATCATTTTTAACTTTGGAGAGAGAAGTTTCAGTTGATGATGAGGTCAGAAGCCAGACTGTAGAAAATTAACACAGTGAAAGGGATTAATGTAGAGACAACAATTGTAGATGGCTTTCTCAAGTAATTTAGACATGAAATAGAGAAGAGATATAGGATAATAGCTTTGTAGAAATGAACAGATCAAGGGAGGGTGGTTTTCTTGTTTGTTCTTTGGGGTTTTGTTTTTTTTGTTTTGTTTTGTTTTGTTTTTCAGGATGGGGGAAATATGGATATGTTTGTAGGCAGCAAGGAAAAGCAGCCAGTAGACAGGAAGAGATTTAAAATTAATGAGAATATGGATAATATAGGGAACAATATATCAGAAAAGACAGGCTAAAATGGTTTCAGTCACTCATGTAGAGCTTCAGCAAGGAGAGATTAAACTCTTCATGTGAGATGTAAAGGTAGAGGGGAAAGACATCTGAGTGATGTAAAATGAAGATAGTAGAAGAGAGAATTCTTCATGAATGGCCTCACTTTTTTCAGTGAAATATGATGCAAGGTTCTCACTTGAAGAGGGTAGAAGAAGGCAGAGCCATGAGAAGCTTGAAGAGGGAAAAAATGTCTCAGAAAAGCTTCTGTTAGGGACAGCTAGGTGGTGCAGTGGATACAGCGTCAGCCCCGGAGTCAGGAAGACCTGAATTCAAATCTAGCCTCAGACACATAACAGTTATTAGCTTTGTGAGCTGATTGCTCACCCCCCCCCCCAAAAAAAAAGCTTCTGTGGTGAGAAAGTGAACCGATTAGGGATCTGTAAAAGCATTGCCTTGCTACAGTGAGAGCCTAGTTGGACTTATGTAAGACAAATCTGTAATAGACCCAGTCAGCAGTTTCATGATTTTTTTTTCCAGCTTTATTCAGGAGTTCTTACATAGGAGTGAAGACAGTAAATGGTGGGAGGGCTCCAAGGGTGGGGCTTGGCAAGGCAAAACAGATGATAGGATAAGGGGCAAGGGGCTTAAGTGTAGAAGATAATATAAGTTTGAACTGGCTAACCAAGGGGTTAGATAGAGAAGTGGCCAGTGAAGAATTGATGGCCTGGGAAAGAATAGAGGGATTAAAGGATTGGAGGTTATGATGAGAACAAGAAACGAGGTAAAGGATTACAAAGCAGAAGGAAATATGGAATAACAAAATACTGTCATCAAATAAAGGAATTTTGGAGTTCTTCAAAGTGGAAGTGGGATAATTGACAGTGATAACAGGGTCAAGTGTATGACCGTTTCTGTGAGTAGCTGAGGTAGGGTAGAGGAGTCAGTTATATGAAATTCAGGAAGAATTGGGCAGTTAAAGTGTTTGAGGGAATAGCAGTATGTACGTTGAAGTTCCCTAGTTTGAAGGCAGGAGTTAGGGAGGAAAGAAAGATTTTAAACAGGGCACAGAATGCATTGGGGAAAGAAGGAAAGTGTTCTGGAGGTCGATGGATAACAGCAACTGGAATCTTGACCGGGTGATAGCTATGGACTGAATGAACCTCAATGGGGAGGTTATTGAATGATGGTAATAGAGGGAGAGTCTACCTCTGGAAGTAACAATGGGGAAAAAGAGTATTCTGACTCCTCCACAGTGACCAGTAAGTCAGGGATATGAGTAAAAGTGCAATAAGTACTGGAAGGGATGTCATCAGGAGGGAGCCAAGTGTCAATTGGAGAATATAAGAATTTAGAACCAAAAACAAAGATTATCTCCAAAACAATAGAATCTGAAAAGGAGGGGGAAAAAAGGACAGCAGACCAACAAAATGCAGGAGCAAAAGGAAACTTAATGGAAAAAATCAAAAGACAAGATTTGTAGAACACATGAATAACAGATTAAAAGATAGAATGGGAAGACATTATCTAAATATTCAGAATCATCCAGAGATAGAACAAGAAAAACAAATCCTTAATAACAAACTTTAAAAATCAGGCAGGATATCAGAACTTGTAAGGTATAGCTAAAGTAGTTCCAACACAAAAAAAAATCTAAACACATTAATCAACCAAAGAGAGACAGAACAAATAAATTTGGCATGTGCTTTTAAAATTTTGAATAAATCAATCAAAAAACCCCAGCTAAACAACGAATTAGAAATTCTGAAATGAGGCAGTCAGTAAGCATTTATTAACTGCTTACCACATATACTGGATACAAAGATATACTTGGATACAAATACTAGATAGGCACTGGGAATACAAAGAAAAGCAAAAGACAGTCCTGGTCTCAAATAGCTTACAATTTAATGGAGGAGGCAACAGGGAAAAAATATGTACAAACAAGCTACATACAATATAAATGGGAACTATTCAACAGAGAGAAGTAAGAGCGATTGCAGAAGACTTCCTGTAGAAGGCTAGAATTTGAAAGAAGCCAGGATAGCCAGGATGTGAATATGAGGAGGGAGAACATTCCATGTATGCAAGAAGACCAGAGAAAATGCCCAGAGCCAAGAGGTAGAGTGTCTTGTTCAGGAAAATGCAAGGAGGCCTGCATCTTTCGATTGAAAAGTATGTGAGAAGGTG